ACAAACAAGGTTCCAGAACAACTACATTACTTAAAAAAAAAAACCCAAACCATGTCACAGACACTTAAGACTCTCCTGAGAATAAAACTATGGAAAATCATCTAGCATGTTCTGTCTTTTGCCTGGAACACAGGGAGAAAATGCTTTTGCAGCCTGGAAAAGGACAGAGAGGGAAAGGTCATGATCTTACCTTTGCTCTGCACCAGTGCACACACTTCATTCTTGGTAGGGATGCTTGTGCTGTCTCTCTGATTTACACTCTCCAAAGACTCTTGGAAGGAGTGGAGTCTCTGGAATCCTGTCTGAGCCAGCCCAAGCACTGCAAGGATTCCTAGAGCATGTAATCCAGGAACACTGTCCCCTACCATGCTTCCAAAAGCCATGGACAAGCCTTCTACATGCAGACATTCACACTCTAAAAATAGAAATCCTTATGCCTGCAAGCATATCTCACCACCACATATTAATTTCTATCACTGGAAGTGTTGAGGAGCCTGCCAGTTACAAGGCACACTATGAATCAAACCTGAAATAGGCAGAGAAGATAATGGATTTTTTTTTTTTTAAAGGCAAAATGAGATCTTATGTGTCCAGCACTGAGAACCGAGTCTACCTAATTCACAAAAAAGTTCCATGCTCCCTGCTGCTCCCAAGAATAAGTTGTACTCTAAGCAGATCCTGTGCTGTTAGCTGTTACTCCCTTCAGGCAACTACTGCAGGGAAGTTAATTCTGTTTCCAAGTCACATCTTCAGGGCTCCTTTTGCATGTTTACTGTCAAGCATCCAGCACATGAAGGCAAACATTTGGAATAAGGCCTTGGGTGCAAGCCACATTTGTTGCTAAATAAACAAAGCCAATGCTACAAAAAACAATCATGCTTCAAGGTATAAAGCAACAGGGTTTTTTAGCCAAAGAAACACCCAGCCCCTCATTGTATCTCCCATCTGGGAAGATACCTGGGCAAGTGATCCCACTGAGCCTGAAGCACTGATAAAGGCCAAAGGCTGGGAGTGGCCAGGAGAGGAGATAAGCCATTGGACTGACCTAGCAAATCACACCCTTTGTTCAGCTCGTTTCCTGGGGATTTGAAACAGCTTTTCCTATTCTCTCTAAACCCAGATAAATAAAGAGTGATGGCTTTGGAGTTTTTCAAGTTACAGGAGCAGGAGGAAAGACAGGCCTATAGTAACAGGCTTTAAAGAGGACCCTATCAGCTGACATACGGACCTATATATTGGCTTATTGAGCAGATTCCTCCCACAAACAGTGACAATAGCTTGTTCCCTCACATACAATTCTATATCCATACTTCCTATATCCATGTTCCTAATTAAAACAAAACAAAACCAACCTTACCACAACCAAAAAAAGCTGACACCATCCTGAAAAGGCCAACCTACAGAACCGGGTGGGAAAGAGATTCATTTTCAGTGCTGTAACCCCTCATGTGTCCTATCTGGTCTCCAGTATCTGATAAGTATCTGACACCCTGTGACAACATCCAAGTACTGAAATTTCAGTCCAAAGCTGAAAAGAAGGCAATAATAATGTCGCAGGTTGCATGGAACAAACACTGTGCAATCAGAGAAGAGCCAAGAGCTGGCACAGAGCACTACAACCCTTTCTATGGCACCTGTTCTTACTGGTGCTATACCACCAGAAAAACATTGGTGCTACTTGAGCATTCTGAAGGACTAGAAACTGCATAATTGGGCTGCAACATATTCACAAAAATATTTTTTGCACTTTTTCTTCCAGATGCTCCCACACCCTCCATCTAAGCTGAACATAACACCTACACAAAGGTTTGTGGCTAGGGCAAAAGTAAACACATTATCAAATTTCTCTGAGACTGTACTGGAAGTTTACATTGTAAGAGGAAAATCAAATTTTATGCATCTGATTATGAATACCACACATCTTAAAGTAAATATGGCCAGCCTGATTTGGGACTATCCAGGACACAAAATGTTCAATGTAGGAAGAAATGTTTTTAGTACGAGGAGTATTGTAAATGAACTCTAAATTCTCTCAGCTTATTTTCACAGTTCTTACTCACTGAAAAAAGCCTTTGTCTTTAGTTTGGTTCCTTTAAGTTCAGTTTTTGTCTCAATGTTTTGTGCTCAAATATAGCTGTACTAACAAAATTTGGTACAATGTTCCATAATTCTCTACAGATAGATAAGGAATTCTCCCTATATTATGCTTCTGGCAGTCCCTCTGTGCAATTCAACAGGTGCATCAAATATTTCCAGTTATCCACTCACAGTCATAAAAGCAGAAAAGAAAACTAAGGGCAAAAATTTAGAAACGACAGCTGGAATACAGAAAGCTGAAGTTATTAATAGATTTTGGACAAAATATATAAAATGTATTTTGTAAAAATGTGGAAGAAATTAAGTCAGCTCTAGACCAAAAGGTGTGTGTTTTGGGATTTGATGGGTTTTTTTCTTCTAGGACTCAAAAAAAACTTCTTATTGTGAAAGAGGTTTCACAGCTTTAGGGCAGATCAGTCAAGCAGACAAATAGATACATGATGGCTACTAGAATATGTATCAGCAAATGGTGTCCTAGGTTTAAAGACAAATAGATTTGAGTCCCAACAGTGAATGGCTGGTCTGTTCCCAATAAAACACAAACCTACCTCCTTTCAGAGTTTGACCAGGAACACATTTTAATGAAGTCAGTGGAGAAAAGGTGTCCCATTCAGCATATTTGCCTACTTTGAAAGGCAAATGAGGATCTCAACAATTATTCTAGGAAATAGGTATTTTCTCCAAGCACTTTCGTTAATTTAAACAAAATCGTTAATTTTGCTCAACTTTGAGATTCAAGTAAAATAAAAACCTCAGAATTATTCTCAGGTCAAACCCATGAGATTCAAAGAAAAAGGGCTAATTTCACATAGCTTGGTACTGAATCATGTGGTAAAGCTGGGCTCACACAGTAGGTTTTAGCACAACATGTTTACACAAAATTGGATAAACAAAATCTGTAAGGAATTCACCCACAAGTGCATTTTAAAAGAGTTTATTCTTGGCACAGATGGGGACAACTCCCATCAGCTTGAATGGAAAACTCACCTGTTTATGCCAGGACTGACTTTGTTCTCCAGCACCTGCAAACATAAGGCAGAGGACCAGCATCCCCACAGTGAACTGAAGGTTCATACCTTTATGAGGTCACTCTTTTTGATGAGGTGGATGGCAGTGGTGAACCAGGATGTGGGCTGTTGTGTTTTCAGAGCTATTCAGCAGCCATATTTAAGCAAAAAAAAAAGCACACTCCTTCTGTCCATCTTAAGGACTTGTTTGGAATTATAAAGACATATGGTATTTTTAGAGGCTGAAACAAACTGACTCACACTCACCACTGCCAATTGAGAATAAGGCACATTTACTGATGTAACCAATGTTCCACTTCAATCTGCTTTCCCATCAAACCTCAACATTTTATTTTAGCTGCAAAAAGGTTTATTAAAACCCTGTAGCCACATGATAATTCTCTCAACTGAGAAATGTGATGCAAGACTCAAAAAAACCCAACCTATGCAGCTGCACTCATTTTAAAAATCACCTTAAGTTGCATAGCATTCCACAGAGTTCATATTTTATTGTGCTGTTTAAATGAAAAGAAAAACAGTTGTTCCTCTGATTTTTTTTTTTTTTTACATACCCAAAATCAAGGAAGTAAGGGGTAATATCCCAAACTCTGTCACCAAACCCACTTTGTAAATTCCTTTTGCTGTCCTTAACTGGCAGAAAATTTGTATTTGTCCTGCACTTTGCCCTCTTCCCCACAAGCTCAGGTTTTCTGTTATATGAGTTAGACATAGCTGCTTACCCACCCATTTCAGCAAGAGCTGGAAGTTTTAAATCCTGGAACCTGAGCTGCATAGGAGGTTTAAAACTTGTTAGATGGAAGATGATGAGCATGTTGTATTTATCAGCTGGTTGCAAAGATACCTCTTACAGCTGAAGCAAGAATATATTTGCAAGAAGATACCCAGGATAGGGAATGTTAATTTTCTCTGTGTTCTGCTCCCAGTGAAGCAGCTGAGTGAATGACACACCACTTTTCTCCTAGATGACAGCGAACAAAAAGCACAGGAAAAATTTATACTGTAGTGAATCACATGCATATTTTGACTGGTGGAAGCTCTGCCAGAGAATGGAAAGAAAGATTAATTTAGTTGGTTTATCCCTTCCTTCGACTTCCATGCAGACTAACACAGTGCCTCCTCACAAAGGCTGCCCACAGCCTGGCACGGCTCCAGGCAGGCACTGGTGTGTGCCGGCTGTGGATCAGACAGCACTTTGTCCTGGCCAGGATGTGGTCTGCCTTTGTAACGAGGCCCATGCAAACGGGCGCCCATCAGCCCCTGCAGCCGGCTCTGGCAAACACCACTTGTCCCTTCACTAGACATAAATGAACTGTAACTACCTCAAAGGAGAACAAACAATATAAGAAAAGAAGAGGAAACATCCAGATTTAACCAGATTAACTATAAAGGCTCTCCCGCGGGAAGGCTCCCTGAAGAGGTGAATTCAGGCACTTATTAGCAGCTATTAACCACGTTTCTGGTTTGTGATGTGCCATGCAGAAAAAAATACAAATCTGTGACTTTCCCTGTAGAAGAATTTAGGTAGGATTTTTGGCTTCACAGAAGACAGATTAGTCACAGCATAAACTGCTGCCCTACACATTTCATATTTGTTCTGCATCCCCAGCATCCTGCTGAAAAAAGTGACAGGAAAAAATATCTGTGCTGGGCTTAGAAGCAAATGCACAGCACCACCATGACCATCACCATTCCTCTGCTGTGCTAAACACTTGTTATTCATCTTGAGCCCTTATTTTTGTCATTTTGCTTAAGCTTGGAACACACAGACTTCAGAAAAACTGTTACTTATCAGAAATTGCTATCACAATGTTTGTATTAAGAGAAGGAGTACAATGAACAGCAAAAACCTCAGAGTTTTTCCTCAAAATTTCTTACCTTATTCCTGCCAGAATGCTGTTAATGCATGATCTTGGGAAGAAAGATCAACAGAATTTCCACTGCATCTCATTTTCAGGGATACAGGACTCCATTTCTGAAAGCAGAGAGATTAAGGTGACTGAAATCTGAAGTACTGATACTGTGCTGGGAGAATGGGTGCTGACAGCAAGCTCTTAACTCATCAGCAGATGCAGGTCTTGTTTACTGTATTTAAACTCAGTAACAGAAGCAAAATCCCCATGAAAGCAGAAAGAAACAAGGAGCAGCCAGACTGGCCTCTCTCATGACTAACACAAGATAACCACCTCTATCCATCTACAAACTCCATTGCCTTGACTAGAGAAAACACAGTTTCAAGGTACTATTAGACCCAGATATATCATGTTTGGATAGTGGTGCACTTGCACCAAATAAAAGCAAAGATGTGCCTAGGCAGATGCAGCTGACATAGAAATAAAACTCCTCTCAGAACTCTGAGCTGTCCAGTAATTTAAATATCGGAAAGCATGAAAGACCACAGCTCCCCCTCCACTTTCTTCACAGGTCTCAGGCCCAGGACAAATTATGCAGATAATAAAAAGTAGAATAGTAGAGTATGTTGGACCCACCACATTTGCAACATCCTCAGGCAAACAGATTCCTATTCCATCCGGACCTCATCACAGAAGATGTTTGATACCACTTCCACTAAGCCTCTTCACCAAACTTCAAATCAGCAAGGTGATACAGCCACCATTTATGTGCCAAGCAATAAAACAGAAACAAATAAAATTTGGGCTATTCCAGAATAAAACCCTTCCTGTTTCCAACTCTATTCTTATGAAATACCATCAGTTAGAGCTCCCGACATTAAGCAGAGATCAGTTAGCAAACCCCGTGCCAATAATTTAATCAAATTTGAACCTGTGGTCAGCTATTCCTTCTTTGGGAAAACTGAAGACCCTTCATCTTCCATTATTTTTTAAATGGAGATTCCCCAGCTGCCAGGCAGAGATAGACTGTAAACTGCATCCAAACTACACTGAAAACATCCATCAACAGGTCCTTGCCAAAAGGCAGCTCCCTGCTCCTGGTGTGGAAAGAGCTTCTCCAACCAGGAAGGAGTTCTAAGGCACAGCAGTAAGAGGCCCTTCCCTCCAGGTTGCTCAGTACAGAAGGGGGTCAACAGTGCTTCCCCTACTGCTCAGTCAATTATTTGGGACCTCTTTATGTACTAAAACCTCATTGCCTGCAGTGCTGTTGCAGCTGAGGGTCAAGTCAGGAATGGAACCAGCAAAGGCTAATATTATTCCAGGGCACTCTGAATTGGTGCACTAAGAACTGTTGTGACACAACATCTAGCCAAACCTCTTTTTCAGTTTCAGTTATATCAACACTGGGGCTAAACAATATACTAGAACAGCCTTCCAGAAAAAAAAAATCTTTAGGATTTATAAATTTTATTTACATACTTACAAATCACCTGTACCTGTCTACAAAGACTCCAGTTTGGCAATAACACTTGTCTGTGTTATTGCACAGTCTCCAGGTACTTCTTGCTTCTCATTCTCTTTCAAAAGTTTTTGTCTCCCTGGAGCACCACCCCCTTCCCTAGCCAGTTCCACTCTGCTCCTAATGGAGATAGGGTTAAATTTACAAAGTGTTTTTATCCTAATTACAAGCCTTTCAGCTAGTACCTTGGGCTCAGCCTCAGCAGGAAGCAATATGCAAAATATACTTTCGTGCATCTGACGGTCCCCAAAACTACCGGTCATATAAATTCTGCCAATTTACTCTAATTAAAGCTAAGCAGTGTCGTGTGTGCTTAAACGGTCAATCTGTCTTGAAGTAATTACACCTGAAAGCAGGAATACATCAGTTTCCTTCTCCTGGAATTAAACTCAGATGGGGCAGCTGAGAAACAGTCAAGGGACATTTGCTAATGATTAAATCCAAATCACATCTCCTTGCAGCGCTCTTAGCAAGTACAAGCTGCTGCATGGATGCTGATGGATTTGTGGAGGAAGGAAGCAGATGGTACAAGGCACTTGTCAACACAGTGCTGCCTACACAAGACTTTCTGTCACATCCAGTGCTGCAGAGGCTCGTGCTCTGAAGCGGTGCAGCAGGGAGGCAAAATAAGACTCTGGGAGAATGTAATATATACTATGCTTGCAATCAGAAGAGCCAGTAGGCAGAGCTCCTGGTGTGCTGGAGAACTCTCACCTTCCACACTGCCATGTCAAAATTGTCTCTCATCTCTTGATGGTCCTTTAGAAAAGACCAAAGATGACTTTCTAGAAATAGCAACAATATTGACTCACTTAGGAAAAGATGAAGAGGCTGCATTGCTCCATCCAAATCCTCCTTCCTGCTCTTGTGTACAGAGCAAGGAGCACAGAAGTCAGAGAAGGAAAGACAAAAAAAGAAATCATTAACCACTAACCACACTTACACAACCATATTTTGCTGTGCCACTCAACTGCAGCACGTAATTCCAAATTCCCATAACTCCTGACACAGCGCTCAAAAACTGTTAGTCAGAAGGATGCTTACTTTGGCCCCCTAGGAGCTGACAAATTCCGCTTTATCTCCCTGGGATCTGACAAGCTCATCCTGTCACACGGGAAGACGATTATGAATGACAATGCAATGAGTAGCTTCTTAAACAGGCAAAAAAAAAAAAAAATCTGACTTGAATATTCTGCTTAGATTCTCATCCTTTGCTGGTTCACTGATATGTGCTAAGTTTCCCAAAAAGGACACATCACTAGAAGACAAGCAGGTACCAAGTCTACTACCATTCAGGAGATAATGCCATCAACATATAAAAGCTTATATAGATGCCACACTGAAAGATTAACCTAAATCCATGTTCAGCCTCCAAAACTGTGGTTTGAAAGATGCAGTAAACTATCAAGGGAAAAGCCAAGGACCCGTGCAGCTCTTTAAACTATCTGTGATTTGTCCATCCCCAAAACAAACTAAAAAAGCAGGTTTTTGTCAAATTTATTTTGCACTCCTTTTACAAGAAGTGAAACTGTTACCTCCCATTATCCCATTAATAATCTTCCTTATTTAAACACAAACATGGGGTTTTTTTTGTGTTAGATTAAAATATTCTGAAGGATACCAATTTAGGAGTCACAATTCTTTATTCCTTAATTATGATCCAATCCAGCCATACTCATCAGAGCAGGCCAGTTCCTTCTATCCCTCTGAACTGGGACCTTTCCAAAATGCCAAAAACAGATCTCTTCTGGTGTACCTGAAATAATCTACTGGCACTTATCTAGAAATATTCTGGGTTTTCAAAAAGCAAGCATAAACATGGCAGAAATCACTCTGTCACTGAATGTCATAGTTAGTGTGTTGTTAAAATATTCCAGAAGATTAACCTGCTAAAACACTTGGGGATGGAGGGGGTGCCTTTAAAAGCTGCTTTGGCATTAAAAAGCATGCCGTATTAGGCACAGAAGAGAAAGGAAAAGACAAAACCAAATAACACAGTTTTCCATTATCAGAACAAGGCAAAGTGGGATCAGCTGCTTTTTGAAGACAATTTGTTGTTGTGAGAGACCTCACATAGTCCCCAAGGCTGCATTTTCCATTCCAGTCTCGCCATGGAGTATTGGTTGCTGCAGGACTGTTAATCACTGCTAATTGTAAGGACAGCACTGGGGCAGGAACAACTGTCCCCAGTGAAGCCAGCTGAACCAGTAACTGCATTTTAGCTTCCTTAAGGGCTTTGGATGTTAGTGATTTCAAGTCACTAACAGAAGTGGGTAGGTAAACCACTGCTCTAGCAGTGAAGGATGTTAGGACAGAAAACCTATTTTCTTATTTCAGTTGAGCTAACAACAGAATAAACTAAGTTTTACCATTAAACGTGAACCAAATAGCCTAATTCCAAGTGTAAGTCTTCTCAGCCACAGCTGTCTTGCCCTTTAAAAAAAGGAAAGGAAGAAAAGCCAAGTAAATATTCTCTATGGAGACATTTAAGATTCCCTTCCTTCCCCCCAGCAGCAGTAATGTATGTATCTTCATCTTTTGGACTTTTTCCAAAGTGCTTAACTTTGGAATCTACATATTATGCTTGCCACAGCAAGTGTCTCTTTAGACTAACGCTCCTCTTCCATACAGGTCTAAATTCTGTCACTTCTTTTCCCCAGAGTTTGCAGTAATGACTGGACAGCTTCTCTGCAGCAATTGTGGTCTGTCAGAAAAAACAAAGCAGAGGAAGTATGTATCATTTGGCTGTCTCCTTAATTTTAGTGTAACAATTCCATTTTTAGGTACAGAGAGTCCATAATAGAATGGGCATACCCGAGTTTAGCACACAAAGCTCTAAATAAGACTGCTGCTTTACAAAACCACAGCACAGAATGGCAATTGTTTCTAGCGTGGTAACCGCAGTGATTGAGAGATGCCCAAAGTAACTTGTTTTTTAAAGGGGAAACTTCAGTGTGTGGTGGCAAGCTCTGAAACCACCGATATAAATGGATTAGGCCATGAGCACTGCAAACAATAGTGCCATTATTTTGGCTTAGGTCTGTTTTAAGAGAGCTAGAGAGTACTTAAAATAAAATATCTCCTTGGTCTTTCCAATATCACTGGAGGGCTGGGCCGGGGCAGAGACACTTTCTGCAGGCACACAACAGGATGTGCTAATATTATCAAGTCTTTTGCTTTGCTGTCATTCTATTCTTACTTAGCTTCTAATGCTCCATGAATGCATGACTGCTCTTTCCAGTCCACATAACAGCTATATTACTGGAGGTTCCAGCCTGTTGTTTTTCTTCGAAGCTAGGCTTCAGCCTTGGTTAATGTTTGCCCAGAAATATGTAATTGCGGACTTCCTCCTCATAAACCGTTCCAGAGCACAGGCTGCCATCCTTCCATGTTATTATTATCTGTGTGCCTGCAGGCTAGAGCAGGGTGTGCTCTCACATTTGAGAGGAGAGATAACCCTTTCCTTGCAGGAAAGGCACTCAAGGCCTTGGATTGAAGCAGCTGCTACTAAAAAGAGGTGACCTGAAAGCTTTACTAGTGTTATTTTCTGCCCACAGATTACAGAATAAAAATACTCCTAGCACAGGCCTAGGTCACAAATAAGTGTAAGGGAAGCTGAGTATAAAATCACAGAACAATTTGGGTTGGAAGTGACCTTAAAGATCATTTCGTTCCAACCCCTCTGCGAGGTACAGGGGCACCTTCACTATCCCAGGTTGCTCCAGACCGTATCCAGGCTGGCCTTGGACACTGCTAAGGATGGGGCAGCCACAGCTTCTCTGGGAAACTTGTGCAAGTGCTTCACCACCCTCACAGTAAATGGACATTTTAAGCCAATTAATTCATAGTACTGCATATACTTACTTGTGCGTCTTAATCTTTTATTTCTGATTATCTGCACATTTTTTAAAAATCCAAATTAAAAAAAAAACCAAGCTTATTTTCTGTGTTTTCCCCATATCATTAAATACTGTCACCAACAGAAGGAAATAAGAAACCTGGAGTAATTTTTATATAAAATTCAGATTTTCAAACAGACAACACAAGCATTTTCTGGAGAAACAATAAGCAAACTGAATACACTTATCTTAATTTTGGGCGCAGGTCTTCAGTGCCAGAAATGCAGTATCAGCAATGACAGCAAAGCCCCAGGCACTAGAAGAAGGTAGGTAATGTTCAGGATTTACAGTAGTAAATGTGCCCCTGTAAAGAAAGCTGCCTGATTTTGAGCTACTGAAAAGATTTAAGAATCTCTCCTCTCCTAAGAATTGCCCACATCTTCCATGGATACCACGAAGAATCCAGGTCACAGTCTTTGCAACATTATGTTAAATGACCAGAAGGTTTGTAATTAAACAAATTCAAGAAACATGAGAAATTAAGCAGATGAAATCTCTCCAGATACTTTGTAGGCAGCAGGTCTTCCAAGGTCTTGCCCAGATAGCCTGGCGTGCTTTCCAGTCTTGACATTCCCTCTTTGCCTCAAACCACCCAGATCTGGGACCTGTCAGAGTGTATTAAAGCTCACATCCAGTCTATTCACCTGGATTGCCTCTAAGGAGAAATGAGTAAAGTGGAATCCAATTTGAGCCCACAATCTCACCCTGATACAGATTCAGGGTATGTCTGGCACACACACCTAGTCCAGGAACTGGAAGACCTCCCGGGTCAAGTAATCAGGCACAGTCTAAGGGGTTCACTGTCCTTGAATACACAGATCACAGGAAACAGGGTGGATCAGGCACAACCTGCACACTAAACTAAACAAACCTATGTCCAGCTCCTCTGCTCAGAAAGATTAGTGAATATCTCGAGTGCAGTGAACTAAAGCAGTACCTCAGGTGGAGGAGTAGTACAGTGAAAAGCCTTCACTTCCTCCCAGATTTAAATTCTTTAACAAGAGCAGCAGCTGGAAAAAGTTTAGCCATCACTTAAACCAAAATGTATCTTTATTTCTGACAACTGCTGGGTTTGAAACATGATGTTTTTAGTAGCTTTCAGATGCCTCTTCTTCCTGAGCTCACTACAAACTACAGGACAGTTTAGAGAAGGGCTCTGTTCCATATAAAAATGAGATACAGCAGAAAGATATTTTAAAACAGAACAGAAAAGTAGTGACAGCTTAGAGAACAGACTTACAGCTACTAGGTTGTTTTTGGAAGGAAAGGGCTAAGCAAGTCTCAGGATAACAAGCCAGAGCTCTAGAGACATTGAGGACAGAGTCTCACAGAGAAATTACTGAAGGGCCAAGAGTTTACTCTCAAGCCAATTGATATTTGCCATGCAAGGGAAGTCACCTAGTCAGGCTGAAAGCACACATTAAATGGAAATGATCTTCTGAATCAGGAGCAGCTTTCCATGACTGACAAACCCATTGTCAGTTCAGACTAACCCATGTGACAGTCATCCACATATTCTTATAGCCTGGCCTAAGACAGGCCCCTACAAAAAGGAATACTTGGTCTAGCAAAATACTCAAAAAAGGCCAATAGGAGTTTGCTTCAGTAAGGAGCCTCTCAAAACTGGAAGACAAGCTAAAGGACTGGGCCCTGGCAATCACAATATTAAAAAGCAACTAGAACGGGATAATGTTTGAGCATGGATTCCAACAAAGCCAGCTAGTTGCTACAAGGTTGTTCAGCTACTGAAGATTTGTCCCTGCATTCCTGTTGAAATCAATCCATAAAAATCATATTAAAGGATTAGGCATCAAGCATTTGTGTGTTGATGTGCATAAGAAATTCTTCCCTCACAGACTGATGACCTTACATTCTTAAGAGGATCTTTTGCCCCATAATAAAGTGTTCACTGTCAACAGTAATTCTTGCGCTTCATGCATCTGTTGACAAAGCCTGAACAGGAAGCTTTTCTGCAGGTATAAAGTTTAAATGCTGTGCTTCCACAAGGCCATTGTCCACATAAAGTAGGATTTGGACATTTTGGTGAACAGCAAAGTAGCAGTCATGATATTTATGCCACAAGTGAACGGTGAAACAAAGAAATGCCACACATTTACTTCAGAAGCTTGGTAGTTCAGGAATTAAACAATTCTCCTTGCACATCTATCCTTCTGTTATCATCTGTATTCCTTTAGGCACAGACACACTTCTAGCACAATTATGCAGAATAACTCATGAGCACACATGAGTGCTTATATTATGTCAGCAATCCTTGCTTGCTGAATTAATAAATTTAACCTGCACCCATTTTTATAAAAATGCACCATTTCAGGTGTCTGCAACACTGATTTCACAAAGCACTGAAATCATCCCTGTGCATAAACCATGCACAACACTGAAGGACCAAAATTACATGCCCAACATAAGCCACTTGTGTTAGTAGGGAGCTCCAAGCAAAGAGATTTAATAGAGACACAGAAAAAACCACAATTCTACAATTGGCTGACCAATTCCCAACCGCGTAAATCCAGGGAAGAACTGGGCACAAGGCTGCCCCACAACTGCTTTGTAGGCTGCAGCTACTTGGCCAGAGGAGGAACAAATCAAATTCTCTCACTGCAGACAGGACTGCACTCTCTGCCTTCTTTCCCTCCAGTCATGCAGGAGTATTGAGGGCCTGGCAGGATTGAAATCCCTGCAGAAACCCATCAGGCAGGTGAGGTCTGTTGTGCTTCCTTGCTCTCCCACTCTCTTCCATGGGAACAAGGTATCTGATGTATTTAATCTTCCCTGTCCCTTCTGTCTGCTTAAAAAATAAATCTCTACTCTGATTTCTTATTGCTGGCATCTCCAGATGTTTCTTTGCTAAGAAAAGTTGCATCAGTTCATACTAAAGCTTTCTGCAGATGTGTGTCATTTTGCATGCCAAAGATTTGCTTTCTGCCTGTACTTAAACTAAATGCACTCAGCTACAGAAGTTACATCCATTTAATTGGAACTGGTGTTAGGAAAGGCCAACTTAACACAATTTGCCAGCTAGAAATTCTATCTCCAGCCCTCTGCAGATAATTTCCTAGCCAGCCCCTTGTGAAAAAGTCCTGCTCGATGGTAATTGAATTTACTGTAAGAAGATGGAAACAACAAATACAGGAAAATAACAGAGCTTCATATCTTTGGGTAAAATTGAGTGCTTGTGGCTTCCCCAGCTCCACAGCTTGCTCTGTTATACCTCATCTATCAGTCCCAAAAGCATCTTTTACTTTTCACAGTATAGTTTACATTGGAAAGGACTCCTGGGAGATCATCTAATCCAACTCCCAGCTCTGAGCAGGTCCAGTTAGATCAAGTTGCTCAGGGACTTGTCCAGGAAATAAGAGATTCAGTATTAAAGCACTGGGAAAACCATGAAACATTTCAAGGAAATCACATAGAAAAGTAATTAAAGTTAACATATGGAGCTTAAAGAGAGAGGCCCCAAGTTTGACTCCAGCTCCTAGATCCCACTCCCACCTTAGACCACAGGTGCTGAAACCAGGAGCTTTCTGTTTACACACAGAGTTATGAGATCCAGGAAACATAACAATCATAACCACCCCTGCAATGGCACAGTGTGGTTTCACCAATAACTGCTTTTGCATTTTGGGAAACACACTTTTAGGACGGTCCTATAAGTAGAGAGATCAGGTCCTAGCCTGATGCAAACCAGTGCTTACCAGCTGACACCAAATGAGAAACTGCCTCACAATTTGATTCTGTCAAGAAAATTCTCTGTAAGACAATCTTGCATCTTTTGTTGAAATGAAAGAAACAAGCAGATTCTACCAGACACCCCCTGGTTCATACTGAATCACTGTTAGCACATACACTGGAGTCTTACTCAAAAACAAAGGACAGAATACAGGGTAACAAGCGATCAGTCACGTCTGACACGCACACTGTTTCCACAGAATTACTCATCTCTGTGAGGTCTGATAGATGTTAAAGGATTTTTCCTAGTTCACACACAGATGCCTTGTAAATAAATGGCAACTATTCCTATGACTAAATAGTTACTTCGTAGGTATTTTGACAGAAGAGATCATGGAGTTTCCAATAATGCCATCCTCAAAACATAAACTGCGCACTTCCCCTCCTTTCACTTGTTTTTCAGGAAATCATATTTTCAGACTTCCTGTGGCTGACACAGCCTGGGTAGGTCATGCTGTGCTGTATCACATCCCACAGCATGTGGCAGAGTGTGAGCTTCCCACGGTGATGCTCCACAATGGAGCAGGTGAGAGAGTCAGCTTTGATTTGTTTCAGTTTTTTCATTGCTGGCATGACGTACAATAAAACAAACTGGCTGCCAAGGGAAATAGGAAAGGGATGCTCTGAGCTTAGCTGTGTGGTTAGCACATTACATCTTTCTAGGAGTTAACCTACAAAGTTAAATCCAAACGATGGATTTGGGCATCTTCCTCTGGTAGCACAATCTGCTTTCACACCCTGACCTAGCTAATCCTAATCCTGCAAGGCTCTTAGATTTACATCAGCAGATAAATTCAGAATTTGATTCCTAGAACACTGCTTTTCTCAGCTCCTTTTTTTTTTTTTTTTTTTTTTTTTTCTGATGGGATTTTCAGGCTAACTTTTCTTCTGCCTACTACATTTGCAAGCCTTGCACCAAAAAAACACACTGGCTGTGATCACAGGATAAGATCTAGCCCAAGAAATCTTTCAAAAAGACTTACTGGCAGCAGGTAGGAAAAGCAGGCATCCCCAGCATAGCCAACAGCTGTTTTCCTACAGTTTCCATATCCCCAAAGACTGGTGATAGTGGAAGAAAAGTGCATACAGCAGGACAAGAGAAGAAAGATGAGGTGAGAAATTAATATTCCAAATGTTCACTGAAGCAAGGAGCTGGTGTCCCCCTCCAGACAGTCAGTGTCCTAGACACCAGATCACTGTATTATCTCTGTAGCTTCCCTAATGCTTCACTATGAACAGTACAACAATCTCCAAAAGAACAAACTATAAGCCCTCCCCACCCCATGTTTCTGACTCTGTAAGCAACCCTTCAATCTGATCTGTTCATCCCCCCTTAACAGCCAAGGCCTGTCTATTACCACACAAATACAATTCTAAACAATCCTTTTATTGCAAATAATTTTAGCAGAACCATATAGCTAATAGATTCATTCCATTATTAGCAAATTCATTGCATTATTATACAGCTTGGAATTGTGAACTAATCAATATCCCAGGGTGCTGAGGGGG